AAATATAATTTTTATTCCATTCTAGGACATTAAGGCTGGTACAAAAAGTGCACCACTGTGTAGTGGGTACTCATCATATGCAATTGACCGGGGTGACCATTGCCGGAACCCCTCTCCCGGTTGCCGGGCTTAAATCACTCCCATTTTTTTTAAACTAATTTCTATGGCTGAAAATTTGTATATTTATTATTTAATACGTCACATTAAAGAATATATAGGGTGGCCTTGATTTTTATTGCTGGAAAAAGTTGCCACCCACATTTAAAACCAAGCGGGCGTGACCCCTGACAAATTGTTCGCCAGCCACTTCATCGCGATTTCGTTGGAAAAATTATGAAAAATAATCAAGTAGTCAGACAAAGGGGGCATTTGTCTTACTATAGGCATCCTGTCCTCCAGTGATGTAATGTATCTAGATACTTGATCTATCTATATATACATTTTATGTATCTAGATACGTATCGAGATACTTAAAAAAGCAAAATTTTGGCCACAATTCATTTATTCATTCAACAACAACAAAAATTCACCACCCAATTTTATCAGAAACTGCGTCATTATAAAACACGTAAAAATATTTTATTAACGAAAAAAAGGTACAACTTTTTAAGATAATAAAAGCCCATTCCCAGGGCCGATTTATCCATTAGGCAAGAAAGGCAGCTGCCTAGGGCGGCAGGCTGATGAAGGGCGGCAAAATTTTTAATGAAAATATTATCCGAAAATGTAAAAAATTAATCTTAAATACGCTGTAATTCTCTAATATATTTATGGTTAGCGACAATACAATTCATTAATATTAGAACCAATAAAATGCCAGTATTCCATAGTGACGTATTTTATCACAGCGGCAATAATTTTTATCATCTTGTTTACACGTTACTAAGAATTTTGACACTTTTTTTGATTTAACATCTGTTGTCATTTAAATTCTGTATTTGATATATGGGGCAAAATTTGCCAAGTGTACCAGGTGAAAAAAATTTTGTCACCGATTTTGTTTAAACTTTACTTATTTGTTGTTCTTATAACGAAGAATCATAGCATAAAATTTTTTTGCTCTAGGATTGTTCATTCAAGAGTTATGGATTATTGAAATTTATCGATTTTTTACTTTTTGGTGAAATCGCTTTTTATTTAAAAATTCATAACTTCTGTTCATCTCTTTATTAAATATTTCAATTTAACCACCTTAAATGATTTTTTCCGTACTTTTCAATGGGCTATACCGTTTTTGCAAAAAAATAAAAATTGCAATTTTTTTTTGAAATTTTGCAAAATTTTGCATTTTTTGAAACATTGTGTATTTTTTAATTTTTTTTAAAATAGCATAAAATCCAAGTTTATTATGTTACCTTTGAATAAAAAAAAAATTTAGAGTGGGCCCGACATGTAGAAGGGAAGTTTTTCATATTTGAATGCCGCACGGTCTACCCATCGAATAGCTACTACACTGCTGTATGCGTTTATACCTAGTAGATGCGAGTAAACGAATACAAAATGATAATTTAAAATGTAAAATTATGTTTGAGTATACTGATAGTACATTGACTATAGTCAATGATGTATTTTAAATATTTACACTGCCGCACGATATAGTTTTTTAACTTTATTTTTTTGCACAAATTGTTTAAGCATGGGTCTACATAGATTTTTTTTAAAATAGCATAAAATCCAAGTTTATTATGTTACCTTTGAATAAAAAAAAAATTTAGAGTGGGCCCGACATGTAGAAGGGAAGTTTTTCATATTTGAATGCCGCACGGTCTACCCATCGAATAGCTACTACACTGCCGTATGCGTTTATACCTAGTAGATGCGAGTAAACGAATACAAAATGATAATTTAAAATGTAAAATTATGTTTGAGTATACTGATAGTACATTGACTATAGTCAATGATGTATTTTAAATATTTACACTGCCGCACGATATAGTTTTTAACTGTATTTTTTTGCACAAATTGTTTAAGCATGGGTCTACATAGATTTCGCAAGGAGGATCGATGATATTAAATAAAAAATTTATTGTTATAACCGTAACGGCTTGCCTATAAGCTGAATGGCGACGGTTATAACAATACATTTTTTATTTAATATCATCGACCCTCCTTGCGAAATCTATGTAGACCCATGCTGAAACAATTTGTGCAAAAAAATACAGTTTATATACAAAAGTGCTCTTTTAGTTCCACCCTTACTTCTTAAGAAGTCCCATAAGCCAACTGAATGACTTGTGCGGGTTAGGGGTAGGAACGGACCGCGGGCTTAAAGTCCCCTCCGAAGGACTAATATACAATAAAAAAACTATATCGTGCGGCAGTGTAAATATTTAAAATACATTATTGACTACTCAAACATAATTTTACATTTTAAATTATCATTTTGTATTCGTTTACTCGCATCTACTAGGTTTAAACGCATAAGGCAGTGTAGTAGCTATTCGATGGCTAGACCCGCACGCATTCAAATATGAAAAACTTCCCTTCTACATGTCGGGCCCACTCTAAATTTTTTTTTTATTCAAAGGTAACATAATAAACTTGGATTTTAGGCTATTTTAAAAAAAATTAAAAAATACACATTGTTTCAAAAAATGCAAAATTTTGCAAAATTTCAAAAAAAAATTGCAATTTTTATTTTTTTGCAAAAACGGTATAGCCCATTGAAAAGTACGGAAAAAATCATTTAAGGTGGTTAAATTGAAATATTTAATAAAGAGATGAACAGAAGTTATGAATTGTTAAATAAAAAGCGATTTCACCAAAAAGTAAAAAATCGATAAATTTCAATAATCCATAACTCTTGAATGAACAATCCTAGAGCAAAAAAAATTTATGCTATGATTCTTCGTTATAAGAACAACAAATAAGTAAAGTTTAAACAAAATCGGTGACAACATTTTTTTCACCTGGTACACTTGGCAAATTTTGCCCCATATATCAATAAAATAATGAATTATAAACTCTAAAAGATCGATGGGTTGGTGTAAACGATAATGAAATTAAGGTAAGTTTGAATAAATAAGGTTTATTAAAGTGTTTTTATATTTTAAAGCACATTTTAATTTTAAATGTCAATCTGACAAATTTTTTAATTCCTAAAATTCATTATATTTTCTCACTAAATATAACTCGTGGTATGATTAATAATCGAAGATATTTACTCATTGAAACCGAAGCAGCACATTTCACTCGTCCTGCGGACTCGTGAAATCTGCAGCTCGGTTTCAATTCGAAAATATCATCGATGATAATCATACCACTTGTTATATTATGGGTGAGCATACCCTTTTGCTAGCATATGACATGTGCTGGCAAAAGGATATACCCGCTAACCATAAATGTATTTCCTAAATTAATGCAAACACGTTTAAGGCACTACTAAAAAATTGATTGTTTTGATTTATCCCCTTATGCCTTTTACCCACAGAATTACTACTCTGATTGGGCTGATTTGTTTACCAAACGACTGCCTTTTGGGCGAACGCAGCAAACAATACAGTTAAAACATGATACAACCAACAAAAGATACAATCTCTAGCAGTCGTGGTCAATACAACTGCGATATTTGAATAGCTATCGGTGTCAGCCTTACTTACTTAAAATTGTATGTAATAATAATGCAATAATAATAAGATAAAATGAAAATCGAAACATTTCACGTTATCATCGATGTACTCCTGGCCCCAGGAGTCCTGGGAGATCTAAAAAGACGCTTAGTTGCTTACCAACGTATTTATGAGCGATTTTATGTACTAACAAATTTGTGTAACTTGGAAAATGAATCAATAGTTAAAGAAGGAGAAAAGTTAATAAACATTTACGAAAATTATTTAGATACTTCGTTTATTCAAGAATGCATTCATTTAAAAGCGCTTTTATAAAAAAAACAATAAATCTCCTTTGGAAATATTTAAGAAATGGATTAAATATTTAAGAAATGAATTAAAAGAAACATTCCCCAATAGCATGTCGAATTTACTTGCTTCATCTGAAAGATCATTTTCAAAACTGTCAAGGATTAAAAACAATTTTAGATCGACCATGAAGCAAGAACGTCTAAATGCCCTTTCCATTTTGTCTTTGGAATGCTATGTCACAAAAAATATAAGTTATGATGAAATTATTAACAATTTTTCCCAAGACAAGAAAAAAACCCTTTTAAATATTTTATTTTTTATTTAGAATTATTATTTGTCTTTGTATTTGTATATTTTTATTACCACTAATCAGTGTTAAAAAGTTGTTTTTAGAGTTGAAGATCTTTTAAAATAAAAATTTTTACTTGTTCTTTTATTAGTGGAAGGGGGCGGCAAAAAAATGTGCCTAGGGTACCAATTTGCCTTAACGCGGCCCTGCCCCTTCCATCTGACAGATCTTAAATTAGGCTATAATAAATTCTATGGTTAACCAAAATAAAGATATACTCCCGCACTAGGAGCAGATCTTTTTATTACTTAATTTCCAAAATCGGATGAGAATTACCAAAATATAGGTATTATTATTATAGGTATTAATATTATTTAAGTCAATTATTTGTCGGGCAAACTGCCCAAAGGATTACTTGAACTGGGATATCTCGTAATTTTTTGTTTGGGAATTTAAATGAAATTCATCCGGCAACACTGTTTACAGATATATGCTTTATAATTTTATATATAAATTGTCTGTAAATTAAAAATAAATTGGCCTATTTAGGTTTTCACGTTAATTTTAATGATTATATGGAAGTGAATATTACTAAAGTTTCATTCAACCAAATGATTACCTAACTGTTCAGTTATTTTATTATTATTTCCACATAAAAATAAAAATAGTATCAATTGCTTTTTCTACGATGATCGATGGTGATTGAAGAAGCCATAAAACGTTTCTATGATGGTCGCTTTAATAATAAAATTTACAACAATAAAATCGTTATAAACAAATTGTTTGATAAGTAAAACCACGAGCATGCGTATTCTGTCCGTTTTCGTGTTAATATTTTATTTGAACGTGTACCCGTGCATTGTTTTGATGCCAATAAAGATTGTTTCGGTTTTGTTTACAATCAGCAGCTGATTTTGACAGATACACAAAACAATCGATGCATTTAAGCGTGTAAATAATCAGCAGAGCAATTTTAACCTTGGAGATGAATTCAGTGACAGCAGTGGTAAGTAGAAAAAATGAGGATTAATTAAGTTATTTTGTTTAATCGATTTATTTTCGGCCCCTTTGTTGATATCGTCGTCACAGATCGTCGTTGTGTTGCATCGACGATTTTATTGGTCAAGTGTGTTAGAACCCTACTTGATTAACATTATAGGTAATATTTTAACATACATACATACAGTGACAGATCTACGATTTTATTGATAAAGTTTTCCTATTTTGTTGAATTTGTTGACCTTAGACTAAAAATGTTACTATATTAGGTACATGACCAAATAATTTAAAAAAATGGACCAAAGAATAAATACGTATATTGCAAAGAAAATATACCTATTATTAATCTTAAATTAAACAGTAAAAATATCAAAATTAAAACCTCTGCAGAGGATCTTGCAAAATAGAACCCCGAACTCTTTAGTATGTTATCCCGGCGCATTCGCCAAAATTATAAATAATAAAAAATGCTTTAAAACGAATTTTTTTATAAAAAAAATGGCACCATCTTATTATATATAATTATATTATTGACGTAGGTATACAACAGGAAATACTAATAATAGGTATTTATCAACTAAATTATGCGTTTATAAGCAAATTTTAGTCAATTTTAGCAATATTTAAATATCAAACCATATCATAAAAGATCAATATTTATAGAACATGTAGAGTTGCCAGATGTTCGATTTTCTTTGTGTCTGTCCGGCAAAGAAAATGTTGATAAACCTCTCAAAAGATTCAGTTAATCCCGGCGCATTCACCATTTAAAAAAGTAAATTAAAATATTTTTTATTATATACAATTATATATATGAATTATAATATGAATAGTTTTCTATTAATATTATAATTTATTGTTTTGGGTTGTGTTTTTTAGATAAAAAGCGTAGGTCCAAAATTAGTTCCATTTTTTAAAACAGTTGCAATTTACTTTGTAATCTTCATACCAGCTGATAAACCATCCATTTTTGGAGCCTTGTTGAAATGTTTACCGATTCTGAGTTTGATGCTTTTTGTTCTACTTCATGGAATGTCCTTTGGAGATGAGTAAGTTAAGTGTTGAAAAGCGACTTTTTCATGCGAATGTTTAAGTTGCTCAAGAGGCCGTGAGGCCGAGTGTGCAATAACACGAGCTTGAAGAAAGCTTTTTTCACAAGTGAAATACAATGTTTTTTCTACTACCCTTTTATTTTTTATTATTTTTAAATACAAAAACAAATAATCAAATAAAAACGTGTTTGACAGCTGTTAATGAAAAGATTAATTTTCTAAGCAACGATGCCATTACGAAATGTGACTTTTACATGGTGGTCGTAGAAAAAATCTTTTATGATTTTCCAAATAGATTTCTGAAATTAAAGTATTATCAAATAATAATTATTTTTAAGGCCGTGCCGGAAACAATTCAGTTTAATTCAATATTTTAAAAAAGTGTGTTGGAGGTATGAAATGTGTATTTATAATACATATGGAGAAGCAGACTTCCGAAATGCGTTTTGTCCAAAAATTCAACTGAGAAAAAGATGGCTTTTTATTATCCTACATTATAAACCTGTCTAGTCCTATATAAGTTGCCATGGACATTCAAAACACGTTTTGTCCTTTTCTACGGCGTGTTGCCAGATCCCAATTAGCACAAGTTAGCCGGCCCCATACGCACCGAATACGTTTGGCCGAACTGGCCGCGTTCGGCCCGGAACACGTATAAGATTTTGCATGTAGACCGGGCATGTCCGCCTGGCCGAATCTCGGCTATGTTTACTTAGCCGAGTGTCGGTAGAAACCCAATCTCAGTAGACCGGCTGGGGCAAGCCGAACCGCTTATGCCGTATTCTAGCCGACTTCGTTTAGAACATGGCCAAACGGTACCAGGGTAACATAACGCGGGCCATAGTAGGGCCGGCTAGGGGCAAGCTAAACCGCCGGTCAACCGTCTATGCCGAGCCGTGGCCGAGTGTGCTTACTGGGATACAGTACAATAATAATAGGTACCGGAAAAGTACTGAAATTGGAGAAGCAAGTACGTAAATTAGGGATGAAGTGGACAGCTGTTTACAATTTAAAAGCGGCTTTGACATCATTAAATAATTTTTTTACTATAAAATACCATAAAGTCTCTGTTATATCCAAACAAACTAAGTTTTGTCCGCTTTAGAAAATCAAAGAGCATTTAAGAATAATATTAATACTAAATGCTCTTTATTTATAATCTTTTTTTAGATTTCTGAAATGCTGAAGAAATAAACCTTTTTGAGGTTAAGTTATTAAAAGAGGACTCCTTTTTCAAATCTACTGGCATCTTAAATTCTGCTCCAAATTTATCAGTTACTGAAGTGAACATCAGACTTGTGTTTCCTAAAAATTATGCAGTTTGTACAAAACGTATTTTGGAAGTCTGCTGCTCATATTATGTACCTATTTAATAAAACACCATTTTTCAGTGCCACTTTATATTATTTTAAAAATTTAGGGAAAAAAAGTTGTGGAGGTGCCAATTATAATTATAATTATATTAATAATTATCAATCCCAGTACCTCTCGCATGCTAAGTGAGCTACTATCTGAGCCTCGCCATGGCGAGGCACTTAATACTAATATTAAAACCGGATTTTGTTTAATATAATTCAATTTTAATCATATATTCTTAATCAATTTATTATGATACATATTATTATAATATATTATTATAATATATTGCAAATATTTTAAATTATAAATCTAATTTATAATTTATTTTATTAAAAATTATATTTACGTTGTATTAAATCCTATTAAAGTTATCCTTCAAAAATATTTAAAAAAAAATAGTACATTATAGACCAGGCGGAGAAAGCACATAGGTATATGATCGCCGAGCATACATTTCACTGCCGTGTTTTATATACTATTTTAGCTTTATTTCTGAGTTTATTAATAATTTGTCTTTTGAACTAGTCTTTCTATATAGGTAGTCTATTTATTATTGTACGCTTGAAAAAAAAACTAAATTTCTGTTCTTTTTATACCGGGTGGTTAGTCAAATAAAAATTTGATCTAATTTTGCTTGAGCACTTATAATTAATTGTTCTAAAACATAATTTAATAAATAATATTTAGTGTATTTAGTGTGTCCGTTATTATTGGAGCCATAGAGCCGGTTAAATTAGAAAATTGTTGGTAAAAACCGAAGACAATTGAACGTCGGGTTTACAAAATAAAAAAAAATATTTTTGAAATGGAAAACCCTGTATATTTTTACAAATTTTAAAAGATAATTTAATTTTTAGTTAGAATGGTAGCAATGGTAAGCAGATAACTTTGGACATGGTGTATAAGGGTTTAAAAATTGAATTTCATTTTTTAAGAATATTTATTATGAAAAAAAGTTTTTCTGCCATTACGGAATATGGCCGTTCTAATATCACATTTATATATGGAATGACATATATTCCGTAAAGTGTTACAGAATGAAATATTCTATCATCTGATAGAATAAACACTGGTGGCATCATCTCTGTTTCTAATATCTAACAAATTATATACCAATCCAACCTCACTTTCTCCCAATTAAATTATTTGTCTATGGTATTTTTTGGAAACGTAGAAAAAGTATAGTATGAAACATGTTTGGAATTGCATATTGCCCTCTCGTGAAACCGTCAAACTCGCCTTCGGCTCGTGTGACCAAGTTTTCACTCGAGCGGAATATGCCGTATTCCAAACTTGTTACAGAATATACTGCCGTGCTTAATGAAAACGCCGTAACCAACAATTTTGCGATTTTTGGTTTACGGCATTTTCTACTAGAAAAATTCATCCTGCGTCTATCCCCGGTACTCAAAAAACCGTATATATATAGATACGGTTTTTTGAGTACCGGGGATAGACGCAGGATGAATTTTTCTAGTAGAAAATGCCGTAAACCAAAAATCGCAAAATTGTTGGTTACGGCGTTTTCATTAAGCAAGGCAGTATACTATTCTAATGAAGTATTTAAAATAAAAAGTTTTCTAAAAATAGCAAAGTTACCTGTTAATGTCAGCAAGATAAAAGCTTCCTTGCTTATTTTGCTTTTCTCATTACTAAAAATATAGTAAAATTTATTGTTGTGTTTATTGTGTATTTAATATAATATATATATATATATATATATATATATATATAATTTAAAATAAAGTCCTAAACAGGAAGCAAAATTTGACCATAATAATTTTATTTGACAAAGTACCTTTATTTTTCGGCTAAAAAAATAAACTGTACCATCCTGTATATATATATATATTATTTTTTATTATGTAATATTATTTTAATTTGAAGAGCTACAAGGTCGGTTATAATTGAGAAAATATATAGGTGCCTACCAAAGCCTACTAAAGTAAATTGGAAAATTAAAAAAAAAACTGCGGTTCTCGAAATATTAAAAAAAAACTAAAAACCTGTCTAAACCAAAAATCATTATAACTTCGTTGTTTTTGGAAATTTTAAAGAAAAGTAAGTTTTACATTCTTCTAAATTTTCATCCAATTATTTTCTCTATTATATTTTAAGTTAAAATCACCATCTTTTCTTTGTATAATGGCCGCCATAACTTATGTAGTAAGTTTGATATATCGTTTCTTGATTTTTGCCTAGTCAACCATGTTAAAAAAAGTGGTGGTAACTCAAAATCTAGTTGACGAAAAAAATCACCCATTGGATCAAAATTTAGATAAATGTATGTTTACATATCAAACTTACTTTTTCAATATTCTCAGAAACAACGATTTTTGGTTTTGACAATTTTTTTTTAAATTATTTAATAAACGCAGTTTTTTAATTTTCAAATGACATTTTAATAGACTTATGCGTTGTAAAGAAATTAAAGGTGATGCAAATAGTAGGAAAAGCATAAGGGAAGTTGTACGCGAATTTCCCACAGTTCAGCGGGTTATGAAGGACGTTCATTTAACGCGAGTGCAGCACCTGCAGCCTGAAGATAATCCCGCTAGAGTGGAATTCTGTAGTGGTTACTAGAGATTTTGGCTCTGGGGTACAGAACTACTTTGATTTTTACTTTAAAACTGAAGTATGACATTCCTTTTTGAAAGGTTAGTAAACACAGTCGGCCAAAATATTTTTAAAAGTTTTAAGACAACAAAGTTCTGTCGGCTCCTAGCAATGTTTAAAGCTCCTACGTTTAACCTAGGTATTTGCTGTCCATTTTTTGCTCTCATTCGATTACACTATTACCCAATTTTTTTTTATTTTTAAATTTGGCATCTTCATTGCTATCAGCCCGCCCCCATTTTTCTCTGGCGCGAGTTCTGGGATACCCTGTACATATATTTAATCAAATACTTTAACCAAGGATCATTTGTCATATAGCTATGAGTTCCAATTTAACTAAAGAGTCAATCCAAATGAAAACACCAAAAATGAATTTAAAAGTGCGCTGCATGATTTTTTATTGTAATGAAAAAAATTGAGGAAGATCTTTTAGGTGTCAAATATGAAAATCCGTTGCCGTTTTAATTTTTTGTTGCTTTACTTTTATTTGGCACCCCTTAGAAGTCTGAAATAGTGTCAATTTCTTACTCTCTTATAGTGGGCCAGAACTTTTTTTCTGTGACAAATATTGAAATAATTTTAATTTTGTTTTACTGTCCAGTAAGTGTGTTTTCGATATAAATTATTATTATCCAATTAGTTAATCTCATAAAAGAATGGTAAACCACTAAAAATTCATGATAATTTGCCAATTTTTGTGATTTTTGTCTGGCTCCTGTGCCTATTCTACTGAATTTAGAAGGTTCATTTTTTTCAGGTATAAAGTACTTATACAATAGAAAACGTAACTATTATTTTAAGTTTCTAGACTACCAATTTCTTTATTAAAAAAATTATTGAAAATTGATAATTCTCAAAATTAGCCAATTTTGCCCTCAGAAATCATTATGTTGAGGAAAAAATAAAAATCTGAAACTTTTAGGAAATGAAGTCCCCACCTTCATCTTTTCAGTCCAGTTAGTCTTGTTTTGTTATTTTTATTCCTTTAAAAGTTATATTAATTTTTTTAATGCCCGTTTAGT